GGTTCAAGCTGCTCTTGGAAAATTAAAAACAATCAACAAATTCTACTTAGCAACAGTGGAAAATAGTGAATGGGAGGAACAATGTCTAAATGAAGATCCTGAGATATGGAAGGAACTTACAGAAGCAGTGACGGACAAGAACATTGGTGATACGGAAATCAGAGATCTTGACGAGGGAAGGTCAAGACCAGCAGGAGAAAATGATGACAAAAATCAAAATGAAGAAATAGACATGGACGAGGAGGAAACTGATCCCAGAGATCGTCTGCGAGGGATCAAATATGACACCTGTGTGCAACCCACTGATCCTACAATGAGCTCAGACAGCATCTACAGCATCGCACCTGGAGAGGGGAGAAAACCAATATCTATCATGATGGATGAACACTGCGAGGAGCAAGCATTTCCTACGTTATTTCCAACTGGACAGTTGGGTTCCAAGTAAACAGATGCACTAAACTATCTGCCAAAAAGTATTTCAATGCAAGACTTTTGAACAAGGATTCAAGATTTGCTAGAAATGTAGAATATCTCTTCTTCGCACAGTTCATCACAGAGTACAAACAAGTAATGGACACCATTTCTGTTGCTCTACGCAAGGCAAGAATCAACACAGATGATGGAGAAAGGGTAACAGCTGGACTAATTAAAGATCCTCAAAGACTGAATAGATACTGGCTGGAGTGAAACAGCTAGGACTTTTCACCTGGTTCCTGACCCTTTCTGCAGCAGACCTCAGATGGACAGACACACTCCAAGTCATTGCTCTTCAGCAGGGACAGCAATTGCTACTCTGCAAAGGCACTCACACTCTGCATCATGCCGCAAAACTGGGAAGAGCTGTAGATTTCATTACCCAAGGCCCATGGCTTCTAAGACAGTGGTGGCAGACACACCTTCTGATGAGGATCCAAAAGAGAAACAAAGAATTGTCAGAGATACTGAACAAAGTAGGAGATGCGTTAGAAGGAGAGTGCAGTGGCAAAAGCACAGTGCAAAAACTACTTCATCAGGTGAACATTTCCGAAATTGACTTCAACAAAGCTCTTACTGTCAACTTGAAAGGAAAATCCATCGTGTACAGAAGACAACCTCAAGAAGTCAATATCAACTCATTACAACCCAGTATTCTTGAAAACATGGCAGGCCAATATGGATCTTCAATCTGTCTGCGATCCATATGCCTGCATTCACTACATCATTTCCTATGTGACAAAGGATGAACGAGAAATATGGGACAGGCGGTGAAAGAAGTAAGCAAATCCTATAAGGACTCAGACATTAAGCACAGAATGAAAGAAGTAGCATCCTGTTTTCTTAATGCCAGAGAAGTCAGTGCACAAGAAGCTGTTTACAGAGTGCTTGGTCTGCCACTTCATTGTTCCACTTTCCAGACAGTTTTCATCCAAACAGATCTTCCAGAAAACAGAGTTGTCTTCTTGAAACCCAAAAGTATTTTGGAGAATCTCGACGAAGAAAGTGAGGATGTGTATGCCCAAACCATGCCTCAAAAATATGCACATCGGCCATTGATTCTGGAGCAGATGACTTTTGGGATAGAATGGCTCCGATACAGATGAACAAGACTAAAAAATATAAAAAGAAAACCAGATGAGAACTCCAACCCGCAGGCAGCTCTCAGGAGTTGTAATGTCATTTTGTATGTCCTGTAAGCATTACACATTCCTTTGTTTTGTATAAGATGCTACCAGTCCTTATTTAAAAATTCAAGTTGAAGAAGAATCCTTTCCAAATTAAGCTCCTTTCGATTGATTGATCAATCGACATGTTCATGTGATCACATGTTCATTTGCAAGTGGCAGGAAAACCAATGAGCACTGACCTAAATTAATTAATTATTTCATGGCTCATTTTGGATCATAACTGGATCATTTTGACAAGTGGTATAGTAGTTGATTTTATAAGTATTATATTTATCAATGACAAATTATGCAAATGTATGGCTTATGAAGAGCAAGAACAAAAATTCCAAAATATGATATTCAAGGTTATATATTTTTTAAAGCCTTGATTAGGCCCTTTCAATAGTAACACACATGAAAATGGCACATACTAATATCATATAATTGCATTATATGATCGTTGTATACTTTGTTCACTCTAGACAATTAACTACACACTATGTATATCAATCTTCTATGTTCATGTACATCAATCTTCTATGATCATGTATATCAATGTTTAAAATTATGTCTTTTATTATGTTCATGTTTTACAATGTTAATAAACAACATCAAAAAAAAAACAAAAAAAATGGCACCGATTTAGATTAAACACAGCAGAACCGTCCATTAATACAACTTGACAGGGTGCTTGCTTGATAACTCGTATTAACCATGAGTAATGAACTTTACACAAGGCTTGTTTGCAAAATGCTCTATGTGCGTCATATAATTATAAACAAAAGTCAAATCCATTGTGGAACAGGTTTTGGACATATTTCTGCTGTGTTTAGTCTAAATACATGATCCGCGTCCTCGCCGTGGTGCCGGTAACATATTGCTGTCATAAATGATGAAGTGTCATTTGTTGACTCTAGATAAAACACAAAAATTGAAGGGAAAAAAAAGAAAACATTAACAAAAAAAACAAAAAAATTCAGATCAAGGGTTTAAAATAAGTTTCAAATCATGGACATTATCGAAGTGTTTCCTTTAATCTCTTATTAAAAATGAAATCGTTATGACAGCAATATGGCTAAAGGATCATTTTTTGGGGTGAATTCTAGACAATGTGGAATGGATTTACACTGATGCAAAATGCAACAAAACACATGCAAAAAAGTGATATTTATCCCAACCACATAGTCCTGAATTCACTTCAACTCTCTCTCTTAATACAAGTTGCATACAAATATAGCCCTTGTATTGAGAGAGTGAAAACACTATTGAATATGATATATTTCAAATGTGGTGATGTTTTTTTTATATTTATCATGCAGGACCACTGAGAAGAATCCATGAAAGGTCTATCATCAGTGGCATGACTTGTGGAAACCACCAGTTGAAATATCAAGCAACATGACATTTAGGTAAATGTTTACAGTGAACCTATTTTAATTATTGGATAACTTTTGTAATTATTTGTACATGACAAAGAACCAGATGAGAAATTTTGTGGTTAAGTGAGGAGTTTGCTCATTACTCCACTATATTCTTGTGTCTAACTAATGTTCTTCCATCGCTGGATTGTATATAGTGTAGTATGTTGTCATTATGCATGAAACTGTACATTTAAGCATAGGATTCAGTTAAGAAATGGGCAATCTAGCTCCAAAATACCCATATAGAGCCCCTCTAAATTGGCATAATAGTCAATGTAGAACAAATTTAATTGAATTAAATTTGCTTCCCTGATAAGATTGCAATCTTGTTCATTATAACATGAATGATATCAATTATGATCTCCTAAGTGACTTATTAGGATTAGGAGTGTCGTGGTCGAGTGGTTTAAGGCGCTTGACTGAAGATGCGAAGGTCGAGGGTTTGAATCGAGACATGGCACTAATATTCTTTGGCAAGATATTTACCTAAACTTGTAACTCTCCACCCAGGTGTTAAATGGGTACCCGGTAGGATGCAAAAGTTCATGTGGTTGGATGAGCAAGTGTGCGCTTGTAAAATGGCGACTGGCTGGAATACTCCCCAGGGAGTGGAAAATGTGCATACATTGTGTGCGGGTAAGCCTGAATCCGATGACCGGGGTAATAATATATCTGTAAAGCACTTAGGCACATTGTTGGATCAATGTATTGGGCGCTATATAAAAAACAGAATATTAAATTATATTATTTTATCTACTTTTTTTTCCCAGAATCCACAATGAAAGTCAAGAAACAGAGTGCAAAGCAGCGTGCTGCACTAATAAGACAACGGATGCAAAGTTCAAGGATTGTAGGAGGTTCATCAAAGACTCTTGTCACCAAAGCAGACTACCACCAAGGACATATCATTTTTGGAGTTGCAGCAGGGCGACAATGTACATGCAATGTACTTCAATTTCTAGTGACTGCTCAAGACACTAATCCAACAACTTGGAGTAAAAGTGATGTGAACTGTATTCTTCATAGGGGTGCAAATACTTACCAAAATGAAATTATGAAAAGGAAATCAAGTGAAATCTACTTCATGATCAACGAGCTACCAGAATATGTTAGACTTCACAATGTTACTTACAAAGTAAGAATAGCAGATCCACTCGCTGGAAATTTAGTTCACACAGAGTCATTTCCAGATAATGGACAATACTGTCTCTCTGATGCAATACTACAAGGTTCTGTGAAACATCCATGTCTGTTCATCACCATTGGCTCAAAGACACCATGTTCTACAATCGGACTACTACATGCTGGAGAGAAATACTTCTTCTTTGACAGCCACAGCAGAGATGATGAAGGGTTAAGACATTCAAATGGCTCTGCAGTTGTCCTTTCATTTTCAAGAATTGAGGAAGTGGTGAGACACACACATGAGTTGGCAGCAAGTATTGGTCTAGCACAGGATATGTTTGAAGTGACTCCAGCGATTGTATCTTCATGTTTGCCATCAAAGCCCTCATGTTCAAAGAACACCCTGTTCGACTATTTTTGTGATCAATCAAACAAACAGGAAACCTTCAAATCACAAGAAGAAAAAAAAACAGTCCAGCAAAAGCAAACACAATCTACCAAAAAGGGTCCCTTGAAGACAGCAAAGAAGAAGAAAATCAAGACTAAGGAAAAGGAAAAGCTACGAAAGGCTTTCTATCGCATAAAGCTATCTGAGGAAGCAAAAACAATGACAAAAGGTAAAGAAAGAGGGCGAATGCTGACTTTGAGATCAAGGAAAACTGCTGTTCAAAAACAAGAAGAAACTGAGAAAGAAAGGAAACGGATAGCATCTCTACGCAACAAAATAAGAACGGAAAGTCCTGCTGGGGTAAAGGAAAGAAAAGCTGAGAAAGAAAGGAAACAGAAGGCATCTCTACGCAAAAAACTAATAATGGAAACTCCTGCTGGGGTAAAGGAAAGAGAGGCTGAGAAAGAAAGGAAACGGATAGCAGCTCTACGCAAGAAAAAAAGAACGAAAACTCCTGCTGGGGTAAAGGAAAGAGAAGCTGAGAAAGAAAGGAAACGGATAGCATCTCTACGCAACAAAATAAGAACGGAAAGTCCTGCTGGGGTAAAGGAAAGAAAAGCTGAGAAAGAAAGGAAACAGAAGGCATCTCTACGCAAAAAACTAATAATGGAAACTCCTGCTGGGGTAAAGGAAAGAGAGGCAGAGAAAGAAAGGAAACGGATAGCATCTCTACGCAAGAAAATGAGAACGAAAACTCCTGCCGGGGTAAAGGAAAGAGAGGCTGAGAAAGAAAGGAAACGGAAAGCATCTCTACGCAACAAAAAAAGGATGGAAACTCCTGCCGGGGTAAAGGAAATGGTAGCTGAGAAAGAAAGGAAACGGAAAGCATCTCTACGCAACAAAAAAAGGATGGAAACTCCTGCCGGGGTAAAGGAAATGGAAGCTGAGAGAGAAAGGAAACGGAAGGCATCTCTACGCAAAAAACTAATAATGGAAACTCCTGCCGGGGTAAAGGAAATGGAAGCTGAGAAAGAAAGGAAACGGAAAGCATCTCTACGCAACAAAAAAAGGATGGAAACTCCTGCCGGGGTAAAGGAAATGGAAGCTGAGAAAGAAAGGAAACGGAAAGCATCTCTACGCAATAACCAATCAAATGAAGTAAAACAACAGAATGATGAAAAAGAGAGGAGGAAAAAATTTCTTCACCGAAGATCTTTGCCGGATGAGGTGAAAGAAGTGCAAATTGAGGCAGATAGACTAAGAAAACAATCTGTTCGAAAAAGGACAACTCGTCATGAGAAACGAACACTTCAAGTAAATGACAATATTCGAAAGAAACAAGCACGTCATCCCTCAACAATAGAGAAAATAGTCTCCACTTTTCTGATGCACAAGAATGAAGCTCCAGTGTATGTGTGTACAAGCTGCCATAGACAAATGTACAGGCAATCAGTCTTCAGTTTCCGACAAAGTTCATACAAGGCTAGTATTAACTTCCTGGAAAAATGCACAACTAAGTACACAAGTTTCGCTGGACTTGAATGGATATGCAAGACTTGTAATAACTACTTAAAGAAAGAGAAGGTACCTCCACAGTGTGTGTCCAATAAACTTGAAGTGGCTGATGTACCAGATGAACTAAAAGATCTCACAGAGCTTGAGGCAAGACTCCTAGCTCAACGATATCCATTCATGAAGATACTGGCACTTCCGAGAGGAAAACAAGCCGGAATAAAGGGTGCTGTTGTAAATGTCCCTGTGATTGCAGAAAAGGTCTGTAAAAGTCTCCCTCGGACTCCTTCACAGGCTGGTATCATTCCACTCAAGTTGAAACGAAAAATCCAGTACAAGAGTCATGTGGCTTACCAGAACATTCGTCCAGGAATGGTTCAAGCTGCTCTTGGAAAATTAAAAACAATCAACAAATTCTACTTAGCAACAGTGGAAAATAGTGAATGGGAGGAACAATGTCTAAATGAAGATCCTGAGATATGGAAGGAACTTACAGAAGCAGTGACGGACAAGAACATTGGTGATACGGCAATCAGAGATCTTGACGAGGGAAGGTCAAGACCAGCAGGAGAAAATGATGACAAAAATCAAAATGAAGAAATAGACATGGACGAGGAGGAAACTGATCCCAGAGATCGTCTGCGAGGGATCAAATATGACACCTGTGTGCAACCCACTGATCCTACAATGAGCTCAGACAGCATCTACAGCATCGCACCTGGAGAGGGGAGAAAACCAATATCTATCATGATGGATGAACACTGCGAGGAGCAAGCATTTCCTACATTATTTCCAACTGGACAGTTTGGGTTTCAAGTCAACAGATGCACTAAACTATCTGCCAAAAAGTATTTCAATGCAAGACTTTTGAACAAGGATTCAAGATTCGCTAGAAATGTAGAATATCTCTTCTTCGCACAGTTCATCACAGAGTACAAACAAGTAATGGACAACATTTCTGTTGCTCTACGCAAGGCAAGAATCAACACAGATGATGGAGAAAGGGTAACAGCTGGACTAATTAAAGATCCTCAAAGACTGAATAGAATCATCTTCAATGATAAGGCCTACAACATGCTGCAAACTGTCCGAGGCTCACCTCCATACTGGCAAAGTGTCATGTTCAAGATACTGGCTGGAGTGAAACAGCTAGGACTTTTCACTTGGTTCCTTACCCTTTCTGCAGCAGACCTCAGATGGACAGACACACTCCAAGCCATTGCTCTTCAGCAGGGACAGCGATTGTCAGATGATGATATCACCAACATGTCATGGGAAGACAAATGCAAGCTTCTTGGATCCAATCCAGTAACAGCAGCAAGGCATTTTGACCACAGACTACAATGTTTGTTCAGAGATGTTATTCTGTCTGACGTGAATCCACTTGGCAAGGTGAAAAACTACATGTATCGCATTGAATTCCAACAGAGAGGTTCCCCTCATGCTCACTGTGTGCTGTGGATAGATCAAGCACCACGACATGATGACACCGAGGAGAATGTGACAGAGTTCATTGATCAGTATGTCACCTGTGAACTTCCTTCTGATGATGATGATGAGCTGATGCATACTCTAGTTTCTACTCTGCAAAGGCACTCACACTCTGCATCATGCCGCAAAACTGGGAAGAGCTGTAGATTTCATTACCCAAGGCCCATGGCTTCTAAGACAGTGGTGGCAGACACACCTTCTGATGAGGATCCAAAAGAGAAACAAAGAATTGTCAAATCTTCAACAGAGATACTGAACAAAGTAAAAGATGCGTTAGAAGGAGAATGCAGTGACAAAAGCACAGTGCAAGAATTACTTCATCAGGTGAACATTTCCGAAATTGACTACAACAAAGCTCTTGGTGTCAACTTGAAAGGAAAATCCATCGTATACAGAAGACAACCTCATGAAGTCAATATCAATTCATACAACCCAGTCGTCTTGAAAGCATGGCAGGCCAATATGGATCTTCAATTTGTCTGCAATCCATATGCCTGCATTCACTACATCATTTCCTATGTGACAAAGGATGAACGAGAAATGGGACAGGCGCTGAAAGAAGTAAGCAAATCCTATAAGGACTCAGACATCAAGCACAGAATGAAGGAAGTAGCATCCTGTTTTCTTAATGCCAGAGAAGTCAGTGCACAAGAAGCTGTTTACAGAGTGCTTGGTCTGCCACTTCATCGTTCCACTTTCCAGACAGTTTTCATCCAAACAGATCTTCCAGAAAACAGAGTTGTCTTCTTGAAACCCAAAAGTATTTTAGAGAATCTCGATGAAGAAAGTGAGGATGTGTATGCCCAAACCATGCCTCAAAAATATGCACATCGGCCATTGATTCTGGAGCAGATGACTCTTGCAGAATTTGTCAGTTGGTATGTTTCTTCGTACAATACGGTACAGGAAGAACCACAAGAATCAGCAGAATTTCACCCTGATCTTCTTGAATCGAGTGCAGCAAAGGCAACACCTATCAAGTTAATGGATGGCAAGGGCTACATGATAAAACGCAAGAAGCCACGCATTATCAGATACCACAAGTTCAATGAAACACAAGAGGAAGAAAAATACTGTCACCACATGCTAATGCTCTACCATCCATGGAGAAGAGAAGAATTTGATCTAAAGAATGGCCATGGGACGTATGCTGAGCATTATCACTCCATCTCCCAAGACATCTTGTCAAAGCGATCCAGTCTGGAGTCGTTCACTGAAATAATCGAGCATGCTATTGAAGAGCATGAACAATTAGGACCACCAGAACATGCCTGGGATACTCTCGATACAGCAGCCCAGCAGGAAAATGCAGAATCCCAGACAGATCCTCCTCAAGACCACCCCGATCATAGTTTTCTCCAACCAAGTTCCGATCAGACAGTTACTGACGTTCAGGAGTCATGTATTGGTACTACCATTCCACTAGCCATTGAACACAGGCCGAACTACCTTTCTGATGAACAATACAGGAACAGTGTACTAACTCTAAACACTGGGCAGTACAAAGTGTTTTCATACATCAATAACTGGTGTGTGGATTTGGTGAAAAGCCGCAAGACACACGTTGATCTACAGCCAGTGCAGCTTTGTGTAACAGGAGGTGCAGGAACAGGCAAATCACATCTCATATCTACCATTTACCAGATGGCTATTCGTACGTTGAAACATGAAGGAAGTAATCCAGAAGCAGTGAGAGTGCTACTGACTGCACCAACTGGTACTGCAGCATTCAACATCCAAGCAAGCACCCTGCACTCAACATTTCTCCTACCACTGGGTCAGACCAAAGTCTACAAAAAACTGAGTGATCAAAAGAGGAATACCCTACGCTGCAAACTTGCTGATTTGGATATCTTAATCATAGATGAGGTATCCATGGTAGGTTGCGATCTTCTTATGACTGTGGACCAGCGCCTTCGAGAAATTAAAGGCGTCAACAAAATCTTTGGTGGCATATCCATTCTGGCATTTGGAGATCTATACCAGCTTGCACCAGTTTGTCAGAAATTTGTGTTTGAAGATGCTGCAGATTTATTTGCAAGATTGGCTGGCTCCCTTTGGCAAGACAACTTCCAGTTTGCTGAGCTGGATGAAATCATGAGGCAAAAAGATGACAGAGCCTTTGCAGAACTTCTGAACAGAATCAGAGTAGGAGAGCAAACACAGGAAGACATGACTACCCTAGAACAATGCATCATATCACCGAGCGATGACAACTATCCTTCAGATGCACTGCATGTATTTTGCTACAAATGCAAGAGTCAATGAATACAACACAGAGAAACTAAGCAAGGTAGAAGGTCCAATCAGAAGATGTATAGCGGTAGACAAAAAGCCTAGTTGTCTGAAGAGTCATGTCACAAGTACAGATGCTAGATTCACAGGTGGATTGCCACATGTCTTGGAATTAAAAGTTGGTTCTAGAGTGATGCTCACCAGAAATATGGATGTCACAGACGGACTTGTTAATGGTGCACTTGGGACAGTTGTCGATTTTGTTGAATGCAATCCACCAGCAAGCAATCCAAAGGCAGTCCTGATCCAGTTTGATAACCCTACAGTTGGTTCAGCATTGCGATTGTCAATTCACTATGGCACATCACAACACACTACAGCAGTACCAATCCAGCGAATTGATGTTAAGTTCTCAATCTCTGCAAAGAAACAAGGCTTGGAAGTAACAAGGTTCCAGTTCCCCCTGCGACTCTGTTGGGCAACTACCATTCACAAAGTCCAAGGACTCACGGTAGCAGATATAGTTGTTTCAATGAAGAGCAGATTCGCAGATGGTCAATGTTATGTGGCTCTAAGCAGAGTCCCAAAACGCTCAGGTCTCCATCTCTTGGATCTGCATGAAAGCAAAATCAGAGCAAGTACTGCAGTGAAGGCTGAAATGGAACGAATGCGCACAGATATGCTGTTACAAACAACATATGATGACATCTCTGCAGCACTCACAGACAAGAGCCAACCTGTGCTAATAGCAGTTCAAAACGTCAGGTCACTACCTGCCCATCATGAAGACTTGAAAAAGATGCCTGGCTTTGAAAACTGCATTGCAATTTCTATCTCAGAAACATGGCTAACTTCAAAACACAGACAAAGCAACTTTCATCTTCAAAACTTTGATCAGCTGAGGAAAGACAGATTTTCATCAAATCCTGGAGGAGGGCTGTGTATGTTCATCAGATCATCTTCAACATACAATCTGCATGCGATGGAATGTTACATGCCTCAACTGGAGATCCAAAGTGCAATCATCAAGCCCCTGACCCACCCTCCATTTCTCTTGGTGAATGTCTACAGAAATCCCAAGTCAAGTATGAATCAATTCACAAAAGCCTTCTGTCATCTCTTGGAATTAGCTAATGCAACCCACCTGCCAGCATTTATAGTTGGTGATTTCAACATCAATCTCCTCACATCCAAGCACAGCCACGCAGTACAACGGCAAATGCAATGTTGCAGTTTCCACCAGGATGTCAAGAAACCAACTCACATCAGTGGCTCACTACTGGACCATGTCTACTCCAATACCCCTACCAACATCTGGCAGAGTGCAACACATTACAGTGATCATGATGTTATCTGGATTCTTGCCAGTTTTTGAACAAATGGTAAATCTATCTATGATCTCTTTAAAATGTATGTTATGCAAATATATTTAATATTCACTTAAACAATACAACTGGGTCTGTTACATAAAACTTACCATTGATGGTAACTTTGCGGTCAATGGCAATTACCATGGTAACAACTAGGGCTTAACAGCCTATCAAAATCAAGGTTTTCAAACCCAGGTCTGTTACTAATAGACAAAGATTTTAGCTATTATTTCTTGAGATATTAAGAAAAAGACCATATAAACAATTCAATTCGTCTGATTAAAAAAATATTCTCATTTTAATAAGTTTTTGGTGCAAAAAAATGTAAGCTCACTTTATAGCTCACCTTTCTCCTCAACAAATTCCAACACATTCCATGTTATACAAATATGTCTTGATTTATTGTGAAAGTAGACAATTTACAGAATTATTAATGTGACCATTGACCTTATTTCCAGCCTTTACAGTTAGCGATCTCCAATCAGCCTCTTCACTCAAAGCATAGCCATGCCGTACAATAGAAGATGCAACGGAGCAGTTTCCACCAGGATGTCAACTAGGAACCAACACACATTAGATGCTCACTACTGGACCATGTGTACTCAAACAAATTACAGTGATGTCATCTGGATTTGTGCCAGTTTCTGAAGTCAAATTGGTAAGTCTATAACCCTCTCAGTGCCAAATTCCCCATTACATAAAGAAGGTCTGTGTGGTAAGAGGTCTGGATGTCTATACCTAATGGTAGAAGCAAAACAGAATATCTATATGTATCAATTAAAAGAGTGATCTCTCCTCTATAATGGCACATACCATACCCAAGGTACATACTTTTACCTCGGGGTTATGTGTGCATGTCAATACAAGTTCTATGAGGGCTCTCCGGTTAAGATTTTAAAGAGTAAAAACATTTGTATGAGGTGCCTCTGATGACACAAATGAAACATTATGATTCAATATTAGAACAAAAACATGTCAGCCAGCACTTAAAGGGCAAGTCCACTTTAAAATAACTTGCTTTCAATAGAAGCAGAAAAATCAGACAATTAAAAACCAATTTAAAAAAAAGATTGAGCAAAATCAAATAACTAATATTAAAGTTATGAATATTTAATGACATAAAAAACTTTAAAAATCACAAGACAAATTGGCAACTCACTCATGAGTCGTTGATGTTATTGTCTCACTATCCACCAAGTGTGTTCTTTATATTGTTAATATAAATTTCCAATTTCCCCCCTAAAAATCTAATTTCCTCACACCAGCATACAAGTTATATTGATAGTAATATGCTTTTGTATGGACGCACTAATATAGACTAATTTTTTCAGTTAAATCATGAAAAATGTGAATTTTGATAATCTATTAATGTAAAAATCAATGATTATGAATACCGGTATACCATATTCAGAAAATAGTAACAGTTCTTCAAAGTTCATAACAGTTTTTGTCAAATGTCATGTACGCTATATGATACAAATCATATAACCTGGGAGAGGCATAGGGAAATCAAGCTTTTTTTAAAAGGAAATTAATGGGATAAAGATATATAAAGCATTTGATAAATAGTGAGGGAATGACGTCACAAACTGATAACCAAATTGGCAATTTGTGTAGTGACTTTCTAAGTTCCATAGTTTTTCATACTTCATTGCAAAAATGTCATAACTTCCTAATTAGTTATTCGATTTTACTCTATTTTTGCTCTGTTATATCTTTTGTTTTTTCTGCATCTATTAAAAGCAAATTATTTTCATCAATCGGTTCTTTAACGTGATCACAAGCTATTTTTGCAAACATAATAAGCCCTGTGAACTTTGACCTCGTGACCCCAAAATCAAATCAGTTCATGACATTGGCTCTGCAAGCTACATACATGATTAAAGTTTGGGGGTAATCGATCAATTGGTTCTTGAGATAATGCGATCACAAGCTTTTTTTGCATACATAATAAGCCCTGTGAACTTCGACCTTTGACCTCGTGACCCCAAACTCTAATCAGTTCATTGGCTTTGCAAGATATATACATGACTTAGGTGTGGCGGTAATTGATCGATTGGTTCTTGAGATTATGCGATCACGAGCTATTTTTGCATACATAATAAGCCCTGTGAACTCTGACCTTTGACCTTGTGACCCCAAAATCTAATCAGTTCATTGGCTCTGCAAGATACATACATGACTTAAGTTTGGCGGTAATCCATCAATAAGTTCTTGAGATAATGCGATCACAAACTATTTTTGCATACATAATAAGCCCTGTGAACTTTGACCTTTGACCTCGTGACCCCAAAATCTAATCAGTTCATTGTCTCTGCAAGATACATACATGACCTAAGTTTGGCGGCAATCCATCAATCACTTCTTGAGATAATGCGATCACGAACTATTTTTGCATACATAATAAGTCCTGTGAACTTTGACCTTTGACCTCGTGACCCCAAAATCTAATCAGTTCATTGGCTTTGCAAGATACATACATGACCCAAGTTTGGCGGTAATCCATCAATTGGTTCTTGAGATAATGCGATCACGAGAACGGGACGTACGTACAGACGTACGTACAGACGTACGGACGGACGGACGGACAACCAGAAAACATAATGCCTCCGGCTACTTTGTAGCGGAGGCATAAAAAAAAGACGCTGCCGGTGTGGTAGGCGATTTGTTCCGCGGAACGAATCTACTGGATCGACTCCTTCGCAGATACGTTCGAAAGCCGCCGTTCTTATCCGACATTGGCCGAACGTTTCTGCTTATATAATCGCGTATATTTTTATTACTTGTGTCGAATAAACATGGTAAAAATAAATTTTAGCTTTATCTTGATACTTTTGTATTTATTGTTGGAATGAAAACCAATATTATTTTTTTAAAAATATTACTTAATAATAAGTCACATTTCCGCTGTACTGCACCTTATGGAAATGGCAAAAAGAACTGTTTTCTACACGCCGTGCGGGCCCGCAGTGGAAATGTGACTGCGCCATCAGAGAGCTGGCTATGTAATTGTTTCATCCGAGGATACCATGCCTTTCCCCATGATCTCTCACTTTCTGGTCCCTTTAATGCATCAGAAAACAATATTTTAGTTCAGAATATCGTAGAGGAATAATTATTTGATCAAGTTTTCCATTTTAGAGTTCATGGGAATGCAACAGAAGTGTGAGATATATTTCAGATCAGAATTTTTTCTCGAGATTGATTACTTTCAGTGATATTTCTAGTCTCACTTTGTCATTGATTGGAGTTTTAATAGTATCTTTCATTGATGGGAATTCTTGTTTTACTAATTTCTATTCAACACAAATTACAGTTATATATTATCAAGGCTTTTAAACTATGAGGATTTTAGTTCATTCAATCGAGAATAATGAGCTTGATTACGATAGCTAAATGTTGGTACATAAATACGTAGAATTCATGTACATATGTATCATAACATGTATCATATCATATCGTTTTACTTGCATTGTAAAAAAAAGAAAAAGAAATTATGTCCAGCGCTTGCCTATTGCATCATTTCATGTGGTGCTTCTCACACAATCTTTGTCTCTCTCTCTCTCTTGCAATCTTTCTATTTCTTTCTCTCTCTCTCTCTCTCTCTCTCTCTTGCAATCTTTCTATTTCTCTCTCTCTCTCTTGCAATCTCTCTATTTCTTTCTCTCTCTCTTGCAATCTTTCTATTTCTCTCTTTCTCTCTCTCTCTCTTGCAATCTTTCTATTTCATTCTCTCTATGTCCCTTTCTCAGTATAACAGTAAACAAATTGAATTCTGCATTCGTTTTTTAAGACCTCCATTGGTTCTGTTTGGTTTTCCCTCTGCATTAGACAAGGGCTGGGGACCTTCAAATCAGAGGACAATCACATTTTATAGATTTCATTTGTGTGGGTGAAGAATATCATTAATTGGTTGGGTTATCCAATTGCTGGCACAATAAGAAATAAAATTTGACTGTCCCTTGATTTCGGCTGCATTAAAAACCAAACTAGTTGACATTATCAGACTGTTATAAATCAGACTAGTTTTAAAAAATAATAATATTACTGGGCAGATGCTCAACAATTAAACAAATTGGAGCTCCACAGAAAGAGTATGTGAACGCATGAAATATTCAGTCACCAACAGTCAACAGTCCTTATGACGTGCTTCATTATGGGGAAGGAGAGGGTATTCAGTCTTTCTACTTCTTCTCCTTCTCTTCCTTCTCCTTTTTCTTCTCTCTCCGTCTTGTAGCCATCATCCTCTGCCATTCTTCTAGCGGCTGTTGCTGGGTTCTGGCGCAGTACCAGCTGCCGTAGTACTGGTTGTGATGGTCGCTGTCACGTACTTGGTGGCATTGGCGGCACTGAGATGGCGCTGAACGTGGCTTGTATGCTTTCTTGGAGTCCTTTCCTTCCATATCCTCCTTTAACCTTCTCTTACGATAATGCAAGGAACTTCGTGGAGTGGGTGGAGCGGGTGGAGCGGAGGGCAACACTACCCTGGGGTGCTGGTGAAGGTCTGGAAGAATGAACCTGATGGGGGGCACGGGCTGAGATGACGAGGGTCCTGGTGGAGTGGAAGAGAGCAGGATGAAAGTTGGCTGTGCGGGGGCTCGTTTTATCTTTGCCTGCCCCACCGTGTTGGGCACCTCTCGGATGGGATGCTGGTCCAAGATGGGTGGCTGGGGCATGACGCGCGGCTTCTCCTTCGGGGCTGGAAGGGGCTTGCTGGTCGCTAGTTTTGGCCGCGGAACAGACACCCCCATCTCCAGTGTTGTGCGCTCTTCCATTTTGGACCTCTTGTTGTGCCTGAAAAGAAAACAGCAATGGTATAGTGAATTCAGAGTTGAAAATAATTCAAGAATTACATATTTATTTTAGTTTTATTTGTAATCTATTCCAATGGTAAATGATGAATTGAATAGTATCCTTTTAATTTAGTTGAATCTCCCAATTAGATATTTGGACTTTCCATGCCATTCTCAGTTCTCAAATTCCCCTTCAACGATCAACACTACACATCGTTACACAAAGACAAATAACCATTCAATGAAGGTCCATTGGTTGATCTCAGCCAGCTGCAGACATGTGTTGGTCGTCACATGGGCGTTGTTAGTGACAGCGCTGCAGATGCGTTTATACGCTTGGATGATTAATCCCCATCTTGGGTGGCACTTCCCCTTCACCAGCTTGTGTGCCGGGGTCATGGCGCAGAGCTTATGGATCACAAACTCCATGATCCGGTTTGCATCCGGCCATGTGGCGGGGCCGGTGTTCAAATATATTCATTATTATTTTTAATATTCAAAGAGGAGGCATGTTTTGTGCATTAGTTTCAGGAATAGAATTGTTCAAAAATGTTATTTCTGGATCTATTTGCTAGATGGGGTTAAAAGTTATTACAGTGGAGAGTAATGTTCACATGTTTAAAATTGGTAGAGTATACATACCGCTTAGTACTCTCGACGACGGGTGCCATGGTCACTCTGGTCGTCTTGAACCTCCCCTTGGTCAGTTTGGCCTGATGGCGAGCTGGGCGGTTGGTGGTCTTGTCGAACTGGTCCAGTTCGTGCCACAGCTCCACCATCCTCTCTGCCTGGCGCTGGCTCACCACGCTCTCTCTTCCCCTGAACTGCACCAGATACTCGGCAAGGGCCTGGACCCCATCAAAGCCCACAATGTTTTGGGGACCTGCATAGACATCCTGCAAAATAACAGTGAAGAAATAATGAAACATTGCATGTGTTTAGTCAAACTAAATATAGCCATTTATTGACCTAATAAGATATGAATTTCTAAATTGAGCATGTAGTAAATAAGCATAATAAAACCACAGAGCTGAAGACTAGTGCCGTTCTGTACAAAAGTGGAAATAGCAGTGGTGATTAACTAGTTGATTTGTATAGAACCACAGTCAATAAAACATAAAGCGACACATATTCAGTCAACTCACCTCTTGCTCATCTCCATCGCCAGCTGGAAGGTCGTCTACTTCGGCAATGGGAGGGGAATCTGGTGCACGGGATACCGTTGCCGGTGCTGATGAGGGTTTCCTCCATCTCGGTGCTGGTGCTAGAAAGAAAAGAAAGGAAATAAACCCTTTAATAATTGAGATGATTTTTTTCTTTTTCTCGGATTGAAATAAATAAATTAATAAATATGATAATGGTAATTGCCGCATATGAGAAATTAATTAAAATCATTTTGTTCTTTCTTTGACATACCACAATAGACATGAAGGAAATGTTTACCCTTGTCAGGTGTGACTGGCTTTGTCCTGGACGTTCCAAGGGACTGACGAGATGGAGCAGGAAGCTCTGGGAGTGGCTGCGTTGGGTCCTCTACTTCCTCTCCTACTCGAGATCCCCCGTCGTTGGCGTCGTCGTCGTCGTCGTCGTCTCCCTCTACCTCGTCGGGATGCATTGGCGGTAGAAGCACCTCGCTGGTCTGGTGGAAGAGGTACTCTAGTCCGATCAGCTCCCCTGGATGATCAAGATATGCAAATGAAGAGCAAACCCAGATTAATGGCAAATCAGTGGTAATAAGATGGGGGGTAAATGTAAATTGCTTTTGTCTAAGAACTTTATTACAAAGTGAAATATTATTAATTCATGAATTTCATGTTTCTAGGACAAGGCATATGATATCTCATTATCTTGTATCACAAATTAAAACACTTGTAATTACCGGTGTACTTCTGGGGTGCGACGAGATTTGGGTTGATCTTGGTCCCAAACAGCCGCTCAGTCCTTCGGTTGATATCGTGCTCGTGGAACGTTGCATACGATGTGTGTGTCGGTCGTCCTGTGGCGATGGAGTCAGCTGCACGGTCGCAGTTCCATCGATGCACACCTTCCATCAGGTAGGCTTGGAAGTGGACGTTGTTGGCTGATGTGGCTGGGAGGAGGAAGAAATGAAAGATAACCAATTTGTAATTTTTCAAGAATTACCAAAAATTTCGCAAACAATTTGACGGCGTGAAGGCCGCAGTATTTTTGGAAGAGAAAATATCAAAAAGTCGACGAAAGAGTAAAAAAAAAAAAAAAAAAAGTCAAAACCAGCACGAATTTGCACGTATGGGACTACCTACGGTACAATAACTATACCACTTTGGTACAGGACATTTCAACACATCTTACCGACAATTTTATCTTGCAATGTTGACATGAATACGAAAATAAATTGCTAAACCAACATTTGCCGATAGATCTTGATCTAAATTCGTGCCGCGAAGCATCCATCCAAAGTCGCCATTTTGTTTTTCCATTTCATGCAGTTTCACATTACACCGTACATTGTGGTAGGGGTATATCGGACACCAAATCTGCCCGCGATCACTTTTTGAGATAAACTTCCGGTAAATTATAAGAGTATTGATGAATTTGGTATCTGTTTGTAAAAAAAAATTAGTGTTTTACGAGAAAATTACGATTATTTTGTTTTGTCCGTTGGTTTTTTTTTTTCCTCTTTGAAATGTCAAAGTTGAGGTGCGGCCTTATCGCCGGAAAATATGGTAACCTTCTGTCAAAATGTATTATTTACTTGTGATATTAATGGAGTTAAGCAGGTATGATACATTACAGATCTGAAGCATGCACCACAATATCTTACCAGGAATGAACCTGTTCATGTGCAGATGGAAGGACTTCAGAGAAGTCAACCCTCGTCCGCATCTGTAGACTGCCAGCGTCAGACCGCCCTTCACCACCTCTCCTGTCCTGGTGTACAGTTGAACTCCAGGGGGGTCTTGGAGGCACGCGACGTGCTTCTTCTGCGAGTCCCAGATGTTCCACATCTTGTCAGAGTCGAAGAGTGGAACGCCCATCGTGTCTCTACCCTCGGGCCCATCCAAGCTGGCCAGCAGGTCTCCAATTAGTTGAGTCGTCTCCTCCGTACCTCTGGTTGTTCTCCTGCAGTGTCGGGCCATCTCCTTTCTTCCGATGCGCTTGTAGATGTCGTCATCGGTTGGGCAGATGATGTTCTTCTCGGCTAGCTCGGCCTTCTTCGCTCGCACCAGCAGGTCTAGATCCTTGGCGCTCCACACGAAGATGTTGGCTGAGAGACGTCTCATCAGGAACGGGTAGAGTTGGTGGAGGTTTGTGGTGCATCCCCTCGCAAGCCTCCTCATGAAGTGCGAGATGTCGAGCCGCACGTGCATCTCTGGCCACTTGTCGAAGATCGGGGAGGATCCACCGCAGCAGCCTCTGTTCACGTACAGAAGCTCTGGTGCCGGCTCACCTGCCGTCTCATACCGCTGTTGGATGCCCTTCGTCAACTTGTCTAGGCCCATCCCCTCTGCAGCAGTCATTACCGACATGAGCACTTGCCCGAGCTCATTCCCGACATTCGTGGCCCACGATGCGGTTCCAGAAGACTGGCCGGCAATTTTTTTGGTAATCTGTAAATTGAAAAGGAGATGTGAATTACAGAATTTACATGCACAGAAAGAAATACTTGCTATCGATTTCATGTGGATTCAATACTTACAAAAATTATTAATAATCTTTTCTTTTAAGAATCTTAGAGCATTATTTTCTTCAATTCACACATAAATTCCAGAATTATTACCAGAAGACATTAAAATGAAATATACATAAACCATTGAACCCCAAATCCCACCTTCTTCGTTGAGTCCATCTTCAATATCCTTCCATATGTAGATGTGATGCCTGCCTTCACTTCATCAATGCGCTCCAGAACATCGTTGCAGTAGACACTCAGGAGCCACCGGTACGTAGGAAGAGAATGCATTGCGGGTGGTGCTTCACACTTGGGACGTTCGATGAGACCCCTCTCGCTGGCAGCGATGAACTCCTCCACGGCTGACTCGTAGATGGCAACCTTCCTCAGCCAGGCAGTGGTGTGTGCCTCTTTCACCTTGCGCATCATTTGGAAGGGTCCGTTCCCATGGGTTCTGTCCCGCAGCATCGCGACGATCTTCGTGTCACAAGCATACCTGCAGGAAATGGGGGGGGGGGGGGGAAGCAAGTTATTCGACAGTATAACCTTATTCCATTCCAAAGATTATTACCTACACTGTACACCCTAAGTTCGGTTTAAGGATAGAATAGAAAGTTCAGAAAATAAATCACGGTATCTATGAGTCAAAACACTTTCAGGAAACAATGATGATATATTTTGTATAACTACCCTAAAAAATCTCTGGATTGGAAAGAATACCAATACCATTTAAGAGTGGAATCTTCCATAGTTACAAAGATTAAAAACAAATATTGAACATGCTGAGGAAGGGAAAAGAGAACTGTATTAATAAACCAACCTGTATGTGAGCACGATCGGAAACTGAAGACGGTGACCTGTGTCGAGCTGATCCAAGATGGCTTTACTCCAACCTATGACCTTGCGGTGGCATCTGCGGCACTCTAGATACTCCGATGCCAGGTTGTAGAAGCCATCCACGTCCAGAACTTGCCGCACCACGGGGTAGGCTCCAGCCGATGTGAGTTCTTGTTGGTTGCACTCGGGATGTGGACACACCAGCCGCAATCCCCATAGCTTGCGTGGCATCCACATTAGCAACCGACTGGCAAAGTATCGTGCTGGCTTTGGGGGCTGGCCTTGAGCGAAGTTGGGCTGCGGAGGGTAGTTCCAAAGCTGCTTGACACGGGACATATCCATTTCGGCCTTCCCCTTGGCCGTCTCCTTGAAGAACATGCGGGATATCCATCGGTGGTCGGCTTTGGGGAGGCTCTTCTTCCATCCATCAGTCAGAAGATAACCTGCATATAATATTAAAATAGTCAGAAATGAAAAAATGGAAGCATAAATGATACTAGAGCGATGATTTTTTAGCAACAAGTGAAAAGTGAAGTCATGAATTCATATTTTAATCTCAGAAATGATAAAAATGTAATGAGGTAAATCAAATAAAAACATTACATATTTTGTTTTGATGATAGATATAAAAGGAAGGACTGATTATAGTTCCTAGCGGACCTTTCGGAAGAGACGAACACAAGGTACAAGGTAATAATAGCAAGTTTCATCTAATTTTCAAAATTCACAACATAATTTCCCTCAAATCGTAGCTTTTTTTAAAAATCATACCTGCATTGTCACCTTTATCTTGAAGGGTTGGGATTGCTGGAGGTACAGGTGCTTGAGTTGCTGGAGGTACAGGTGCTTGAGTTGCTGGAGGTACAGGTGCTTGAGTTGCTATAGGTACAGGTGCTTGAGTTGCTGGAGGTACAGGTGCTTGAGTTGCTGGAGGTACAGGCACTTGAGTTGCTGGAGGTACAGGCGCTTGAGTTGCTGGAGGTACAGGTGCTTGAGTTGCTGGAGGTACAGGCGCTTGAGTTGCTGGAGGTACAGGTGCTTGAGTTACTGGAGGTACAGGTGCTTGAGTTGCTAGAGGTACAGGTGCTTGAGTTACTGGAGGTACAGGTGCTTGAGTTGCTGGAGGTACAGGTGCTTGAGTTGCTGGAGGTACAGGTGCTTGAGTTGCTGGAGGTACAGGTGCTTGAGTTGTTGGAGGTACAGGTGCTTGAGTTGTTGGAGGTACAGGTGCTTGAGTTGCTGGAGGTACAGGCGCTTGAGTTGCTGGAGGTACAGGTGCTTGAGTTACCGGAGGTACAGGTGCTTGAGTTGTTGGAGTTACAGGTGCTTGAGTTGCTGGAGGTACAGGTGCTTGAGTTGCTGGAGGTACAGGTGCTTGAGTTGTAGTTTCTGTAATGACACATTTCAACATAGCAGATACAGAATAAAGCATATCCACATACATTATGTATTTAAATATTCAAGGTGTCTTCCTGTAACAGAAGTAATATATTTCCCAAACAAAAAATACAAAAAATTGAAATCAATATGAATTGAAATTCATTTCAACTGTCGTAATATTTTTTTTTTCAGATGAAAAATACAAATATTCTGAGCATTACAGTTTTACAAATATTCAAAGAGTGAAAAGACAACTGGGTTATGTATTGATTTATAAATGGTAAATTGGGATGAAATAACAGCTATGTGGTAGCAGAATTCAAAGAAAGAAGAAGGACTAAAAAAGACATAGGTGTGTGCAAGAACACTTTAACTTACGAGATTCCAAATCTTCCATTGTTGCAAGCTTACGAAGTGTAGCTGTCAGTATAAGAAAAGAAAATAAAAATGGAAAATACAGACAATTAGAAATAACATAAAATACACTTCTATTCATAAAATTGCTCAAAACTATAGACTGGAATTTATTTTTCCTATCTGAGTGTTCAATCTTCATACAACTAGTACAAGGTCAACTAAATAATTGTTGTTGTCCATGTGAAATATTATATCATATTCTTTCATCTAAATTGGATATGAAACTGGTTACATTATACATTTGAACCCCCCCCCCCCCCAAAAAAAAAGATTATCTTTTACAAATATTATTATTGGAAATTCATTTTTACCTTGAAGTTCCTTGAACCTATTTAAAATAATGTATGTTCAACAATATATGTAACCGTTACATGTGGCAAGCAAGGGCATCAATCCAATCCCCCAAATTAGTGCTCCTTACCACCCCCCCCCCCCCAATGCTCAAGCTCGGATTGACGCACTTGGTGGCAAGTATCAGCCTGCCCGGTAGTTATAACTGAATCAATCAATAAATCAATCATGAGTAGACCAGTCCAACTTCTCAACACTGATTACTGTACAGTTACTTACATACAAAACCTTTAAAAAAATAAAAAGGCTTTAAAGTACACACTAATGACTAAGTCTGAATTGATGTGGTAGAATAATGTAAGCAAATAATCTCACAATAACGTGCTTGTGATAATTGTTTCTTCTTCTTCTTAGGACCATTGTGACTTAGGCTAAGCCTCTAGGCTCTAGTACTAAAAGAGTTTTAACAATGAGTCAGGCCGCAGGCACAGCACAGCACGCGCCGAGCCCACGGGTGGCCGTGGGCGCTCACCCGTACCACCAGTAGTCTCGCCCGGTTCTTGACCGACATCGGTCATTGTCATAACTCCAAAAAAGTCGAGAAAGGCACGCTTTCACAATAACTTTACTCGTTCAAAGACAAGCTTTCAGAACAAGGATATGGCCGGGATGGATAAATGCATAAAATCATGATAAATCTCAAATGTATTGCCTTCTTTTAAAATCACTTTCAATACGACATCCCAGAAGAAAAAAGTTATCTGAACCCCATTCAATCAGCGTTACGCAGCTAGCTCAGCACTCGCACATGAGATGCAACATTCATCATTACACAATTATCATTAAAAAACTCTTTTAAAACCTCCCACTCATAAACATGATTAACACAGTCTATAAAACATAAAATGATCTCAAGTTCCAAGGAATTTCTTACCAAAAAGGATGAAGATGATTGCTAGAATTTGCTTTTTAGACAAGAGAAATTATTCGTCGTTAGAATTGTAATTTACTCGCAAGGACACACGATGGTATAGGCCTGCCGCGCCGATCAGGCCGCGAATTTTTTTTCCGTACTCGAGATGGCAAATACCCCATGTGCGCATGCGCGTGGACTTGTGATTTCTCTGCTACTTCCCATACGAAATGTACATGTATTCGCATGTACTGTGCACGATTCGCGTTCTACGAGTAAACGATGGCATAGTAGTCTTCAAACACAGACTCTGATTTGCCAGTTTGACAAAACAATTACGCATATATCGTGCGTAGCAATAGTACTAGTATTCAAGTCTGAGTAGTTGTATGATTCAGACATTTTAGTGCTTACAGAAATGCATCCCAAATTGAATAGCATGGTATAGTAGTCTGCAAGCACAGACGCTAATCGGACAGTTTGACAACATAGTGTCTTGAGTAGTGCTTTATATTCAAATATGTGTAGTTTTATGATTCAGACCCTACTGGTGCGTGTATTGGAAAGGCATCTCAACTTGCAGAGTGGCATAGTAGTCTGCAAGCACAGACGCTAATCTGACATAGCATCAATATTTTGGGCCTATAGTGCTACACCAGATTCAATTTTATTGATTTCTGAAGAAGAAAACATTATAGGCTAGGCCTAAGTGCGGAATGTGTCGAATCAATTTTACAACTGAATATTTGTCTTGCTTTGTCTTTCCGTTCGTGCCCACAATCAAGATGATTGAATCATTTATTTCATCATGTGTGTTTGTTCTATCACGATTTTATTATTAATTTGACCATGGATTATACTGACAAAGGAGTTATTAGACCAAAGTTAGAAATATTATTACAGAATGACGGTTTTGAGAAGGCCAATAAATGACCTCATGGTGTGTGGGTTTGTTCAGAGCCAGAAGGGCATTCGTTGTGTTAAGAGTTAACATCCTTCTGGCTCTCAGCAGACCATGATTATAAATAAAAGTAATACAGAGAGTGCGAGCATACTGGAGGGAGGGCTAGAGAGAGAGAGAGAGAGAGAAAGAGAGAGAGAGATGGAGAGAGAGAGAGAGAGAGAGAAAGAGTGTGAGAGAGCAGTGGCACAATACATAGGCCTACCATGGGGTCTGGAATCATTAAACTACACAAACTTGCATAAAATCACTACTCATCAATACACAATATATTATTATGTCCTTGCAGACTACTATACTACACTCTACACATTGAGATGCATTTCTAACGCACGCACCAGTAGGGTCTGAATCATACATCTACGCAGACTTGAATAAAGTACTTCTCAGCACACTACTAGTATGTTGTCAAACTGTCAGATTAGCGTCTGTGCTTGCAGACTACTATACCATTCTATACAAGTTGGCGACTTGAATAAAGTACTTCTCAGCACACTACTGGTATGTTGTCAAACTGTCAGATTAGCGTCTGTGCTTGCAGACTACTATACCATTCTATACAAGTTGCAATGTATTTCCATATGCACTACTGGGTCTGAATCATACAACTACACAGACTTGAATAAGCACATCGCGACACATACGCATATTGATTTGTCAAACTGGCAAATCAGAGTCTGTGTTTGAAGACTACTATGCCATCGTTTACTCGTAGAACGCGAATCGTGCACAGTACATGCGAATACATGTACATTTCGTATGGGAAGTAGCAGAGAAATCACAAGTCCACGCGCATGCGCACATGGGGTATTTGCCCTCTCGAGTACGGAAAAAAAATTCGCGATCCGGCCTTTGATTTTGGAACAAAGGAGTCCGCTGATTGGCTGAACCAATTGGTCTATTCCCAAATGACCATATCATGTTATTTATAACAAGTTTCATGCAACTGGGCACAGGTCATAAAACAGTGACCTATTCAGCGGGGCGCGTGCCCCACCCCCCTTCCAAAAACAGGGCGATGAGAAGCATGGGCTGATGAGCGTTTCTTTTTCTTGTCCAGAAATAAAGCACTAACAAGTGACCCCTCCTGCCGGTAAATTCGCCACTACTAAATGGCCCACTGGTGTGTTTTTAGACAAAGCGGAATAGCCTTGCGAACAGGCAGCAGCACATTACATTACCTTGAAATGAATTGATAAAATTTCATACAATTTGGACTAAGATTTAGTGAGAGTCAGTGTCAATATGATGCAGAGGAGATTTGTTAAAGGAGAAGCTAGCGAAGAAGTAGAAAAAGAAGAACTATGAAATATTAGTCAATCGATTTATGCAGTTGTAATCGATCAATGTCGTTGTTGATGAAATTTGTTAAAATTATAGACTTTCCTTTACAAATATAGTTTTAAGAAGGAAATTAATAAAAAAAACAAAAAAAACAGAGCAACTCACAATTGTAATTTATTAATTAATTTACATCATTATTTCTTTTTATCATCAAAAATTTCATAATCGCTTTGGCTTTGCCTATATCTAAAGTATAACCGCATTAAAAATTGTTTATTTTATAGCTATATATCAAAAGAATCTCTTTTTCTTCACTCTGGTTTTTCTGCAATACGCATAAATCTTTCGCCTTTTACTAAAGATTTCCGTGCAGAGGAACACATTGATGAGTCTATAAAGATTTTTCTTCGGCTTGCCTACACGGCAAGCCTTGCAAATAAATTGAAAAGTAAGAATAACATATATACACATCCTAACTCGGAGTCAAGACCCCATGACCACGCACTTGGGTACCGAGCTCCAGACTGCTCATAATTGATTACACAACTGACTTTAGCCAGTTCAGTGAAATATACTGTGCGAATGACTGGAGACAGAGTCTAACATTACCCTTTGGATTGCTAGAGCTGTAGGCCTACATAATACTCTCGCGTGTAGTCCTTCGTTGTGTATTTCTTTGCCTTTCCTAAAATTTCCTCTTTTTTTTCGTCGGGAATTTCATTGTTTCTCTTTTAATCTATTTTCTCTTTCGTCATTAAAATCTATCCTGTGCTTTTTCGTCATACAACCTTGTTTTTCATAATCTATCATTCTATCCTCTTCTCTTAATTTCGTTATGTATTTCGATCTTTGTTTCTCCTTTAATCTATCCTTTTCTCTTTCGTCATGTATTTCTTTGTTTCTCCTTCAATCTATCCAGTTCTTTTCATCGTATATTGCCTTGTTTTTCTTATTCAATCTGTCTTCTTCTCTTTCGTCATGTATTCTTTGTTTATCGTTCAATCTAGTATCCTGTTCTTTTTCGTCAAACACTCCTTGTTTTTCATATGCAATCTAGAGTCTCAGAGAAGAGGGAGGGGTTCTTATACTTCAGCCAATCTATAGTTAGGCAATCATAATAGGCCTATACCATGAATATCACTTCCGATCAGATATTGAACTTATGTTCATGATGAAATAGAAAGTTTAAGAACGTTTACATTGCAGATAGGCCTATACATGTATATTGCAAAGGGGACAACAAATTGTGTGTAAAATCGTACACTGTCAGTATACTGACGAATAGCGGCAGACATACCGACCCGCAATCACAAAGGAGGCTTAATTTAAAGAGAAGGTTGAATTCTGGGAAGAGGTGGAAAATAATTTGTGAGCGTTATCATTCTTATATTATGCAAGTGTGGAAGAACATCAGATAAGACATGTTCCCTGAAAAGCATGGCTCTTAAAATGTCTTCATATTCTAAATATGTCATGTCAACAGAGAAGATAATAATCTTAGCGTTCCAATCTGGCCGAGATATGCCAATCTTCTCTGTAGCGTTCAAATTTGGCCTATCTCGGCCAATCTTCTCTGTAGCGTTCCAATATGGCCGAGATCTGCCAATCTTCGCTGTAGCGTTCGAATTTGGCCGACATCGGCCAATCTTCTCTGTAGCGTTCCAATTTGGCCTATCTCGATTAATCTTCTCTGTAGCGTTCCTATTTGGCTGCGATATGCCAATCTTCTCTGTAG